AGTCATCTTTTTAGGCTTAGTGCGATTGGACAGAGCTCTCTCCTTGATGTGATTTCTTCGGGCTTGGTGGTCGACCCAAACTGAGTTCGGTAAAGAGCGTCCGAATCTTATCCTCCATTCGTGCCTCGAAGGCTTTGAATTTAGGATTGATTGACTCCTCAGATGTTATAGTATATGCCTCCAAATCTGTGATGTTAAGATCTCTCTTTTGTTATCAGGTTAAAGGCATGTATAGGTTGAGAGAAGTTATGGTCGAAAGGGTTGGTGGATTGGTGGATGTAGGCTGCGGTTTAGACTTATTTTTGTGGCTATTTTGGGCGCAGTTTGAAGGTGTGGTTTGGTAGAGTTTTAGGGCTGTGATGGTAGTAGATGAAGGTTAGGGAAAAAGTTTAGATCTATGGTAGATGGCAGCAAAGGTTTGATAGAAATTAGTGGAAGTTGCTGCAGGTATATGTTGTATTGTAAGAGCAGAATTATCATCGAAGAAACAACGGTTTCTCGATGAAATTTCCAGCAAAAACCAAGAAATTTGAGGAGGAAATTGATAGCAAAATCTCAGTTTATATGACAGCAAGGATAACTAATTTAATCAGGAAAATTTTGATAGTATAACAGCAAGGAAATTGGTGCAAGTTGCGATAGCAGAATTCTCGTCAAAAAATTTTAATGGTTTGCGACGAAAATTTGCAACAACACAAGAATATTTTTAGAGATAAATTCCTCAATAGATTATCTTAGATAGAAGCCAAGATGATCTATGAAGTGTATAAGAAATTTTATTTAAAAAGTATTACAAATAAATCAGTTAAGGCAACAACATGTGGCTGAAATTTTCTACAGCGCAGATTTTCAAGTGTAGCAGATTGGACATAAAAGATTAGTGGTTTATATTGAGAAATTTTTAATGAAATCAAAGAGAAATCTGCTGTTAGGAAGTGTCAAAGCTGTCATAAAAATTTTGTAGAAATTTGAATAGAAAAAATACATTAGCAAGATCAAACAGACTATGCTATGCGGTTGGAATTCGGCAATGTATCTTTCGTCGTAGAGATGAAAACTTTACGACAAAAAGTTTATGCAGCAATATAGGAATATTTTTTTTTTGGATTTTCGAATAAGGATAACTAAATTGCAATAGCAGTAAGGTAGGAAACCAGAACCTATTATAATTCACGAGAGATCAAAGGATGATCCGCGGTGGCGGAGATGACAGCGGAATTCGGCGACGATCTTTTAAGCAATTATGGGAATTGCTTTGGGTGATTGTGGAGGGTTGATGGATGACCATGGAAGGGTACCGAGATGCCAAGAACATTACTTTGATACCAAGTGTTAGAACCTTTGTAGATTCTAAACTTAGGGTTGATCTCTTTAGGAGATCGACCTCCTTGTAACTCTATAGAGGTTCCTCCCTCCAAGTTGCTACTCAAAGGCTACAGAAAAGATTCATCTATTGCTTATTAAAAGAGAGAATATATGGCTATTTATAAGGCTTTTAAACCTTAACTCCTAATAGGACTCCTACTCAAGACTTTTACTTTTAACCAACTCCTAATATGACTCCTACTCAAGACTCATATTCCTTTACAACTCCTAATTCTTCTCTAAGAAACAACCTCATAACCCTAGCCAGCCTCTTTATCTCTTTAATAAGGGTCAGCTTAGGTAGATTTTACATGAATGCCCCTTTCTATTAGGACTCTCCTAGCTAGAGTCCTAACAACTCATTTTTGTTCAAAGTATAAAACAAAGCATTCATAGCTTTAGCATTTAATGAAAATAATTTTTTCTAAATTATTCCATTTATTCATAGGTTTACAAGATTTTTAAAAACCACATTCAATGACATTCCATAAATTAAAATTCATAAAAATAAAAAAGAATCTTATTCGTGTTTTCCAATAAGTATAATCCGTCCTATTGAACATAGGAGGATGAGTGATAAATTGACCCTCTTGATAGCTAAAATAAGTCTTTTAATCTCTCTTGGGTATTAAATCAAATGAGAAAACTTGACTCTGATACTAATTGTTAGAACCGTAACGACACTAAGAGGGGGGGTGGTGAATTAGTGTTTTCGAAAAGTTGAATCGATTTAAAAACTTCATTCAATCAAACCTGTATCGAAAATACGTTTAACTTAAAAACATTTGTAAGAGTAGTGAGCAAGTAAATTAATTTGTAATATGAATGAAATACATAAAGTAAATGCAAACCAGATTTATAGTGGTTTGGTCATCCCGACCTACGTCCACTCTCGATTCTTCTTCATTCGAAGCCATCGGCTTTCACTATTGATCTTCTTTTCAATGGGTGAGATCATAGGCTCATGAGAGAACCTTCACTCCTCTCTTTTACAATTAAACCTCAATCCTCCCTTAGAAGACTTCCAACTCTACGACGAAGAGATTCAATAACTTAAGAGAGTTTCCAATACTTTTTTTTCTTAAGTATTCTTTCCCCTTTTTCTCTCTCTATTAAGCAAAAAAAAAATAAGGTATTTATTGACCCTAAATAGCTTTAGAAATGATTTTCGAGGTATTGGTCATACCACAACCTACACTAAGTAGTACCATCGCCTACCACCGTATGCATTGGCGGTACCATCACCCAATCTGGGCGATACTACCACCTGACTCCCTAGAAGATCGTGTACTAGTGGTACTATCATCAGTCTATGTGGTACCACCATTTGACATTGGTGTATCACCACAGAGTCTTTCGAAAAAAGTATACTTCATACGTTCCAACTCATAGGCGATTCCACCACCTGGTTTGGCAATGCCATCGCTTGACCCAATTGTGGGTCACTGAATAAGCCTCCCAATAGGCCCAAATCAATCTTGATTTAAGCCCAATGAGCCCTTAATTAAGTTATCATCATTCCACCAAAACTATCTCAATTAAGACCTAAACTACTTTAATCAAGACACAACCGATTGCAAACATGAATCCTATATTGTCAGGAATGTCATTAGTTCATCTGACACTTCGTCCAAACCCTCAGTGCATTGTTCTCTCCTTAGACGTATTGCTCGATCCATCGACATGTTGACCTTCCGCAACATCCGATCTTCGCAATGTTTGATCCTTCTCGCTCGATTCCCGAACTCATGACATAAAGTCCTTCCAATACATCGGCTAGTCCTCCGGCCTAATGCCCAATTTTCTAATATGATGCTCTCCGGCCCAACGTCTAATTCTCCTACTTCAATCGATTTGTCTTTTCATTGATCGAAGTTAGTCCTGTCATTCAAACGCTCATTAGATCATAACTTCATCAATTGATTTCATCATCAAAATATGATATTCAACATAAGTTATATAACTGAGTTAGTGTGCAGAGAGCCCCCTTTCAACGTGAGCTAATGGGTTTCTTTTTATACTTGATCCTTAGGCCTTCTTACTGGCTAGCTTGGGATAAGATCATGTTAACGACTTGATCATTCTGGTCTTTGATCTTGATAAAGTAGGGTGGTTATTGCCATGGCACATCAAGATGCATTACAGTGCCATTTTGAGGTCGGTGACTTTAAGTTTTGCTTAGATATTAGCCTTTGTGGTAAATGAGTTGCATAGGGCAAAATAATCTATATCAAGTGTGATACACATCAAATTCTTGAGATGTCTTAATTAAAAATTATACCTCTTGAATTATTGATCTATGCTAATTCATCGCAATAATTTATAGAAAACACTTAATAAAATCCCACATAAAACAACTACTTAATTTGAAAATTCATCAAGATTCCACCATCAAATTTTTAATAATTCACTAATGAACTAGCCAATATTAATCAAACCATTATATAATTCTATGAATAAATGTTTCTTTATTATCCTAGCTAACCAAATGATCTTAAATTATCATGAAATTTTATAAAAAATTAGGAGACATATAAAACTAAATACGCAAAATTTCAACTTAAAATAAAATTATCCAAAGTATAAACTACCTTCATAATCCAACTGTCAACATCTATTCTAGTCAGCTAAAACTGAGTTGGGATTATTAGTAATTGAAAATATCAATTTATAATATGTAAAAGTAAAATCTTAGGCATAGCAAGAGAAGAATTAGGTTTTTCTTATCTCAATTTTTCTTAGAGTCGAGTTTCCTAACCTCCATTAGAAAAACTAAGAGAATGATTAAAGAAAAAAATAAAGGGTCTTAGGTTATTAGGTTGGTAAAGAGGATAAAGCAAAAATAAAATAGAGGTACTTAAAATATTATCTTAAAGTCAATGGTTTAATCATATTGGGCCTTATTTTAAGTTTTTTTTCTTTTACTAATATAATTTTAATATTACAATAACTTAATTGAGTTTAATTTAGTTTAACAAAAATGATATTTTTAATCTAAATTTATCCTTCAATTTTACTTATGTATCTCAACATTTAACATAACACTCTTCTTTGATTTATATTTTTATTTAATTTTTTATTATTCCATCCATACCTAAATAGTTTATTATCCTCCATATACATAAGGTTTAAAACTTAAATTTTCTTACTTTAATCATGTTCAAACTCATTTAAGCCTTGAGATTTATTTAAGGTTGATTACAATTCAATCATCGTTAAAATCCACTAGCACATTTTGGTTTATTAAGTTATACTTATAAAGTAAACATTAGTACTTATATATGCTCAATCAATACTGAGAATAATATTTTTAAAAAATATATATTTCAATCATAGAAAGTTGAAAACATGATAATATCATTTATCATATTTATGATATTTACGATAAAGGTGCTGAAAGTGTGTGATGACCATAGGTTGCCCCCTTCGTCAAATGTTATTGGGCTAGTGATAGAGGCAGGCGCAGCCTCTATGACACCTCTGTAGCCAATGATGAAACCTAGGCAATGGTGCGCCACTCTCCATCCTCACCCTTTGGTGGGGGATCAATTAAATATAGAGTGCTCGAGAAATTTTCGAATTTAATTTTATTTTTTTGGGAGAATTCACCTGTATATAGATACTATTAACCATTAAATCAAGTTAATCTCAACCGTCCAATTAGGCATCGGGTCAAACTGAAGTCTCTCACAGAGGCTCGCACTCCTTTCCGTCCCGATGCAGGGAAGATGCTGTCGCGGTCGGCAGTATTAGGGCGGGCGGCGGCGCTGAGGCGGCGGGCCATGTCATGCGCTCAAGCTCCGTTCGTCCCAACGCGGGCCACCTCCGGAGTCCCTCCGCTTTCTCCTCGCCCGGACTTCTACGTCCGTGATCGTTACCTTTCCACCCTCACTGCACTTCTCCTCCGCCCACCCGGTTGCTTCCGCGGGTACGCACGTATGCGCCGGCGTAGCCCGCCGGTGCAAAGGCCTCCGGAGTCTGAGTCCGAGTCCGAGTCTGAGTCCGACGCCGAAGAATCGGACCTTTCTGCGGAGGAGGCGGGCCAGATTGACGACGACGGCGCTGAGTCGGAGGAGTGGGAAGGATTCATGATCGACTTTGGAGGGGTTGGGAAGGACAAGGACAGCGACAACGACAACCAAGTAGGGGCTTAACTCTTGTTCTATTTTTAACCTTTGTCCGCACTCTAGGTGTTTGTGGAAATGTCTGTTCCAGTGTGCGCCATATTTTGCCATTGCATGTAGGTGTACTGTTGCTTCGCTACATCTAATCTAAACATGTCTATTACGAATTATTTCAATAATTATAACCAAGGAAGAAAAACTAACGCAACTAAATTGTTGTAGACTGAGATTACCACTCTAGATTAGAATGGTGTTTGATGACTATATGCAAACCGGATTAAGTTTGATATATGAAACTAAAATCAAGTGTCTGCTGCATGCATAATAGAAAGATACCAATTGGGCGAAATAGTGAGTGACAGATCCATGATTAGAACTCACATCCTGGTTTAATATCATGATAAATATTTTCATTGAGTGATCACTCATAAGCTTGTGATGAAGTAGTATCTATTCTTTCCTTCGTTACTTGTCTTCTCGATGGATGCACTCTTGCAATGGAATCCAATAAACTGGGATTTGAATTATTGGGCGTGACAGAGATAGTATCAGAGCATGATTTGAGGATCTCTGAGATATTTAATATGTTTGATGAAGAAAATCTATGAAGTCGAGGACATCAGGTCCTCTTGCTTCATCTTCTTTGAGTAATTAAGTGAGATGAAAGTGTTGATCGGGGACATCAAACTAGAATGGACTAGGAATGAGATAATTTAAGGAGCTGAGTCCTCCTAGTTTTAATGATGAGCATGATCCAATGGCAGCAGAACAATGTAAGTTATTAGAAGAAAATTTTAATCTGAATGCTACGAGGAAAGAGCAAGACTCAATGACATTGATAGCCTCTATCCAAGTGCAATCTTGATCTCATCTTTTTGTCAAAGGAGTTACAACAAATTTAGAAGAATTCCTTTGGCAAGATTATTATTATAATTTTCTCCTCTACTTCCACCACCATATCAAATATCAAGCTTTGTCAAGGATATCTTGGTGGCTGGTGGCTTGCCAAGAAGGATGAGAACATTACTGAGATCATCCAGTTTAGCTTAACTTGATGTTGAGTATCATCAACGCATTTAACCTGGGGTTTGATGTTGGAATGAGACCTTGTGAAGTCCATTAATTTTTTTTCTGCAGGAATAATGGGAGTAATTCTTAATAATCTGTTACAGTTTGGGCATTACTATGTGTCCCAAATATTATCATGATCCAAAGCACAAAGTGAATTGAGTAAATATAAGAGTGGCTTAGCTTTCATTCACATCATAAAATTGAAATGATATTATTGCTTGGTTTCTCTCTCCTTTCCTTTATCCAAGAAATACCATAGTGCTGAAGAGAGCTTTTCTTCTCCCGGTTTCCCACTTGTCTACAATAACAAGTATTATGACAAAAGCAAAGTGGACCATATGACCTAACAACACATTTGGATCAATCCACTCCTGCATTTGCTCGAGTTGAATCTCCACATTTAGACATGGAAGCTATCAGTTTCAACGATTAATGCCATCCATAATCCATGTTGTCTGATGGCTATATGAGCAACATTTGGCTATATCATCAGAAGAGAAATAGCCATGTGGATGCATCTGTGGCTTCTTCCCTTTGTATCTATCTCATTTATCATTCTGGTTGGTGGGGCCATTAGATTGTGAACTAAACATTAAGGATTCAAATCTCAATCCTGATATCTGATCAAACTAACTTGATAGAAGCTTCAATGTGCTATCACTGAAGGATTCCACAACATTCTGATCAGTCTAGACTGATTGATTGTTAAGGGGCTCTGACCCTCCTTGGTTGAATTTTTTTGGTAAAAATGTCCATCATCTTTGCTTTTATTTTGTTGGGATGGTTGACTAGATTCGCATTTTCAAAAATATTAACGGGATACCTCACAATCTTGCGACTACCATCATACCATCATCTTGAGAACATGATGAATCACGTAGACACGGAACTATGATGAGAGCAGAAACACTCATGAGCATATACCCATATAATTAACCACACACAGACTTAATCACGTAGACACGGAACTATGATGCTGTTGTCGTCGTCGGTCTACAATGCATGGAGTGACAAGGAGAGCAGTAGCTTAATCCTTTGCAGGTTCCTGTGCCGGCGCCGGTACCGGCGCAGGCTCGGTTGGGGCGGGGGTATCGGTGGCAGGAAGAGGAGCAGGGTTCTCCTCCACCTTCTCAGCCTCTTCTTTCTTGACCTCCTCCGCGGCCTCCGCCGTCGCCTCCTTGCAGGTACTCTCGACGGCGGCGGAAGAGGGCTCTTCTGCCGGGAGAAGGCCGGAGACTTTCTCGAACATGAACGTGATGGGACCGGAGACGTACGCCGGACCGTACTTGGCGGCGGCCTCGCTGACAGGCTTCGAGCCCGGGAACTCTGTGTGCATATTAGATCACTTCCATTAGGATGTTGCCCACGATAATACAAAAGGAAACGTAGCTGCTTCTTGTTCGTGCTGATTACCAATCTTTACTAGTTCCTCAAGAAACTTCTGTAACTTTTGGCTGGAGTTCGGACTTCTTGTCTTCAGACTCCTTGCTGATCTCCTCCTGTACACACACCGATAACACGGAACAGCAAGGAAGAAGCAGGAGACAGTAAGAAGAACTGATAAGAAGAAGCATTACACCAACCTTTGATTCATCAAAGGACTTGACAACCTCGGCAGCAGCAACCTTCTTACTGCTGCCGCCACCAAAAACATTCGAATCCTCGGAAGAACCTTGGATTTCCAGACGTCGGCCATCTGTATTCTTTTCCGTCCTCTCGATCACCTGATTACCTACAGCGACGGACATCATAAGATTTCAAACCCGGAGGAAGAATTAGTAGATAAAAAGACATACTTTTGAACCTCCGTGGCTCTCTCTTGTGCCTCTTCCTCCTCCTTTGATGACCACCTGATACCGTGTTCAGAAGTTGCAGCGTCAGGGGCGAGCGATGGAGCCTCGCAGGCACAATATAGAAGAAGAACATGAAGTTTAAGACGGTGGGAGATCCACCGTCGATTCCCAGCGTGGCCCCACTTGTCCGAGCCGATCCGACGGCCAGAAGTGACACGTCCAGGGCGTTCTCGTCCTTTTCGGGAGGGTACACTCGTAAATATGACGAAGAGTGGACGGCAAGAGAGGGAGGGTGGGGAGCGTGACAGCTGGAGGCTGTCTCATCCGTCGCCTATTTGTGAGTCCCTGTTGACGCCAGGGTATTGATGGTCTCGCTAGTGGGCCGCGAATCGGGTGTTTCCGTCGCATAAGGGAAGCGTGGGTCGTCGATGGTTTCCCCGGGCTGGGCCATAGCGCTGTATTGGTCTCAACCAAAACCACGTGGCTTCGGTGGCTTGGGATCCTTTTTTTTTTTTCGTCTTTGCTACCCAAAATACCCCTACCTTTTTCTTGATGACTTTTTCAATAAATCCAGAAATATTATCTGGATGACTTTTACTAATATCCAAATATTTCTCTACGGTGTACGGCCACCGTAGGTGAGTATACGATGACGCTAATAAAAAATTCAAGAGATTAAATATTTATACATATAAATTACTTGACATATTGATATTAATGTGATCATACATATATCTTATGATGTCATCAACAACATAGGAAGGAACTCAACCGTTTGGGTGAGAGTGTGTTGGCTCGACTGCGTGAGCGGGAGGATCAGTATCAGTCTATTGTAGCGGGTCTTTATTTGACCATCGTAGCGAGAGTATCGGTATCAGTCTACCGTGGCATTTCTATCATAGTGGGTCTTGATTCGACCACCATAGCGAGAGTATTGATATTAGTCCATCATAGTAACTTCCATCGAAGCGAGTTTTGATTCGATTGCCATAGTGAGAGTATCAGTATCAATCCGTCGTTGTAGCTTCTTCTGTAGTAGATCTTGATTCGACCGTCATAATGGGAGTATTGGTATCAGTCCGCCATAGTGGGTCTTGATTCAACTACTATAGCAGGAGTATCGGTATTAATCCGTCATAGCAGCTTCCACCATAGTGGGTTTTGATTCGACCACCATATCGAGAGTATTAGTATTAGTTCATCGTAGTGGTTTCCACCATAGCGGTTCTTGATTCAATTACCCTAGCATGAGTATTGACCCACTATGATAGGCTTTGGCTCAATCGTGAAAGTGGGAGGCTAGACCCACTATGGTGGGCTTTGGCTCGACTACGTAAGCAGGAGGATTGACCCGTTGTGGGTTTTGGCTCAATTGCATAAGTGGGAGGCTGGACACACTGTGATGGGCTTTGGCTCGACCGCGTAGGCGGGAGGATGGACCCATTGTGATGGGCTTGGACTTGATTGCATAAGTGAGAAGCTAGACCTATTGTGGGTTTTGGCTCGATCACATAAGCATGAGGAGGGACTCGTTATAGCGGGTTCTGGCTTGACGGTGTGAGTGGGAGAAGGGACCCATCGTAGCGGGTTCTAGCTCGACCATGTCAGTGAAAGGAATGGACCCAATTTTCATTAGGAGAGGGTCGAATCGCTTATTTTAGCTTTCCGCAGGACCAACTATCCAGCCTCGATTTGTCGTGGTCAAACCTGTGTTAGGATCGGAGCGGCACTAAGAGGGGGGGGTGAATTAGTGCAGCGGATTAAAACTTCGGTTTTAGAAAAATCTTTCGTACGATAAAAACGAAACTT